TCGGCTCGAAGACCTGGGCGTCGGAGTTGAGGGTGGTAACGGCCGTGCCGATCCAGCATCCTGGCGACGTTGCTGGGGGTGGACTGGTGCCAGTCATCTCGATGGCGCTGCACTTGTCGTTGCCGTCGCGGCTCCTGCTGCCGGGGTTGTGCTTGAGGATGGCAGCCACCTCGGCCCAGTCCTTGGTACTGACTGGGCGGCCGCGCCGTGCGCCGTAGCCGGGGCGGGCATGGGGCCTGCGCAGAGCCTTCTCTGCGGAGGGAGGCCTTGGCTTGGCATCGCTCGGACTTGTGCATTTTTTGGGGGGCGAGGACCATCGAAGAGCATTGTGGGTCACCTTACGAAAAAATACACGCACGAAACCGAAAAATGCACGGGAAATGGACGTCCGAGCGATGGCGAGTAGGGCTTGCGCAGAGCCTTCTCTGCGGAGGGAGGCTTCGGGGTGAGCCTCCCAGTGGCCCAGCCAGGGTGGCGCGTGCCCCGCTCCTGGGTCCGGGAGGCGCCCGCGCAGGACGGCGGAGGTGTGCGCAGGCCTCGCCGCTTTGGCCTGAGATCCGACGCGGCGGAGGCAACGCCATCGCAGGCCTAGAGGTTGACACCAACACCAAGATCAGCGGTGTGCCTCCACCGAGGGAAGACGATCCCGATCTCGGTGATGGTGGTAAGATTCTGGCTTCCAAGGTGACCGAAATATTACCACCAACACCGAAATCTAGGATCATCTTCCCCCTGTGGAGGAAAACCCCCTGTGCTGTGTTGGTGTTGGTGCTCACTTCCAGGCCTCCAACACCAAGCGCTTTTCTGAGTCGCAGCGCGGCAGAGACGAGCCGCACGCGCGCCCTGGCAGCCCGCCACCCGGATGCTCCTCGAGGACTGGCGTGGTGCCGCGAGCGCCACGGCCGCGGGCGCCCATGGCGCCATTCGGGAGGTTTGAGCCCCCCGTCGGAGCCCCCCCAGGGCCTTGAGCCTGGACTCGGGCTTCTCCCGGAGCTCTTCAGAGGCAGCGACAGGTGGGGGATAGGCGCAGGGGGACGCATATCGACCCCCAATCCTCCATGCATCGCCTGTGGCCCCACCCCGCCCAGGAACGTGGGGACTCACTAGCGGTGGCCTATCGCCGATCTATTTGCGGCGTATCGCCGACAGGTCTCGAAGAAGAAAAACGCCACAAACGGCGGAATGTTCAGGGACACTGGGGCTGTAAAACAAACGCCGTCTCCCCTTCCTCCTCTTCCTCCTCCTTCCCGCCGAGCCCCCGTTCATCTACGCCTCCTAGATGGTGGGGTCCGAGTAGATGGGGTCGGGGGATCGCGCCGCACCGCCGATGCATCGCTGATGCGGCTCGATGTGGAGACCGTCGCCGACGTCGCCGATACATCACCGATGTCGCCGATACATCGCCGGTGCATTGCCGATACATCGCCGATGTATCGGCGATGCGGCGCGACCCTCCGACCCCATCTACTCCGACCCCATCTGGGAGGCCCCCAGTTCATATAACTATCTCCCTGTCGTACCCCCCCGTCTCGCGTTGTCGCCCAGCGCCATGGCGCGATTTGGCCGGGTGCCACGCTTCGCCGGCCGCCCTCCTGCGAGACGCCCCGTGCGTATACTCGGAGGGGCTGGGCGGAGAGGCCCCCCCCGCGGGAGGCAGCGGGTCCTCCTCCCCCCCTCCTTCTCCTCTTCCTCCTCCTCCTCCTCCTCCTACTCCTCCTCCTCCTCCTCCTCCTCCTCCTCCTCTCTCCTCTGGGCTTCTCCGCCTCCTCCTCCCCCTCCTCCTTGTTTCTCATTCTCTTCTTCTCCCCCCTCCGCACAAGCAGGAGACACCATCTTACCACTGTGCCGCCGGCGTGACACTGGAGTCCGGAGAGAGAATCTGTGTGTGTGCCCCTATTTGCTCTTCCGCCAGCGCAGTCACTCTGCCTGGCCGCCGACGCAAAAAGTGTGTGTGTGTCTGTGCCCCCGTCTCTATGTTGTTTTTCCTGCTCGACCTCCAGTGTCCTCTGTTGGTTCTCATTTTGGATAGAGCACCCGTTGCGCCTCATCTCCCGCCTCTCCCTCTCATCGCTCCTTCCTTGTCTTCTTTCTTCAGTCCTTATGTTTTTTCTTCCCTAGTGCTTTCAAGTGCGCAAGTGTCGCAGTTTCGCGAGTTCGAGGGGGGGAGGTCCAGGCAGGCTTACCCAGACCCAAACTAGACCTCGCCTCCCCAGGGTCTGCCAGCTGCGTAACGGTCGCCACTTCTTCGAGCTCGCCGGGGGTCCAGCGGAATGCGCCTTCTCCCATACCCCAACTAGACCGCGTCTTGCAGGGTGTCGTCAACCGCGGATCTGCTGTCGCATTCGTGAGCTCGCGGGGGTGTTGTTCGGAGTGCGGCATTCCCAAACCCAGAAGAGACCTGGCTTCCCTGGGTGCTTGTCGTCGCGCAGCTCTTCGAATTCGGTGACAGTGATGAAGTAGGTCAACCCCGTGGTGGCGACGGCTTGCGCGGAATGCTGCCCCTGCAATTGGGCGTGCGTGTCCAATTGCTGGAGCACCTGGACCTCGGGCGAGGGTTGGTCGGGGACGCCAGAGCAGAGGTCGCGCACGTGGCCAGAAGTTTTCGCAGTGCGATGCGGACCGGGCGGGCCGGGCGAGCGCTGCAGGGTTCCTCACTTGCCTGCGCCACTTGCCTTTCGACACACGGATCTGCATGGAAAGGCGCAATGAGGCATTTTTTGCGACAAACTCGTGGAGCGCGCAGGCACAATCGAGAAGCACGCTGCGCGTACCCTTAACAGCCCATCCAGGAACGATGCCCAGAGGAGCTGCTGCTATCGGGGGAACGATGCCCTTCGGGGCGCCGCAGTGAACTAGAGGCCTCCTTCGGATGCCTCTCGGAGTCGCTTGGGATGCCTCAGGGGGGGCTCGTGGGGGCTTCTTGGGGCGTCGTGGGAGCTTCCAGAGGGCCTCGGACACGATCGAGAAGTTCGGGCGCTGTGGGCTTGGTCTTCGCCGAGCCGCGCACGTCCAGCTCCTTCGACCTCCGCGGGCGCAGGGGCCGCCTGCCCGGGCCTGCCCATCTCCCGAGTCAGGGCCCTCGGTAGGGGAACAAACCGTGTCATAACATAAAAACTCGGAGGTCCGCGCGGATTTCTCGGATCCGCGCTGGACCCCCCTGGCGACGCCTCCGGCGCCGCCCCTGGTGCGCTCCGCGCGCCAGGGAGGAGGGTCCAGCGCGGATCCGAGAAATCCGCGCGGACCTCCGAGTTTTTATGTTTATGCCACTTTCTGTTTCCCTACTCGGGTCCACGTCTGTTCAGGCTGGCGCCGTGCCTGAGGTCGTCATGGCCGGCATCGTGTGCAATGGCGCCGGCGACGTGGGCGGCCGCTGTCTGCTTCTGTACGCCAGGGCCACGGTCTGTAAGAAACTTGGCGCTCCGCGCGGATTGGATCCACGCTTAGGGGGCCACATGCGAACCCTACCCCTACCCCCCCACGCCTTCTGAGGGGGAGGGTGGGGTAGGGTTCGCATGTGGCCCCCTAACGCTGCCCCCCCCCCCCCCGGGCGGCGCCTCCGGCGCCGCCCCTGGCGCGCTCCGCGCGCCACGGAGGGGGTCCAGCGCAGATCCAAGGAATCCGCGCGGAGCGCCAACAGTTTGTGTTTATGCCGCTTTTCCTAAGTCGGGCATGTCCAGAAGTAGTAGATGGACGAGTTTCCGACTATTTGTTGCTATTTCTGAATCTTAGTTGACATTCTTTTATCTTTCGCCCAACATCCGCCTATAGAAGGACATGCCCGACACAATGCCTTTCCTTCTTCTAGGAACTGCTCCTTGTCCTCGACCTGGACTTGTGCTTTCTTTCCCAGTGGTCGCTCGCGGACCCGGCGGCGCGCCGTCGAACGTCCGATGTCTGATGGGAGCGGTGCAGGGCGCAAGCCGAGGCTTTTGTCTCACAGCCAAACCTAGCCGCCACTGCGTGCGCGATGTCAAATACATTCCGTTGTTATCGAGCGTCTCGCCTTTGTCCTCGCCCTCCATGCCGGCCTCTCTTGCCACTCCTCGCTTTTTGTCTGTTTCGTCTTCTTCGTCGTGGGATTCCTGTTTTTCATCCGTCCATTTTATTTACTTTGGTGTCGCCTGATATTTCATTTACTTTGGTGTCGCCTGATATCGACCCCATGCAACGTGGGCAGCGTGGGAAAACCTGTGTACACTTCGCACGAGAGTACATGTTTCGTCAGGCGGTCCGTTATCTGGTATAAATTTGTTGACGGTGCCGCTTGTTGCAAATCGGTTGGGTGCGCCCTTGGGTGAATTGAAGGAGGTTGTTTCATGAGCTCATGCCATCCTGATTCCTTAGCACCCTAGGAAGTCAGACCGACAACGGTGCTACCTGCACATTTTATGGCGAATCTTGCGAATCTCGCTCGGGAACTTCTCGCGACATCGGCCTCCGGGGAGACGCCCAGAATGGCTCCCTGCCACCGTTTCTGGCGAGTCAGGCGAGAGAGGAGCACGCTCCCGATCAGCCGCAAAGCGGCCGGTCAGCATCGTGGCGCCCAGAGTCGGCAGCATTGAGACGGGGGTCAACGCGAACGGGGGTCAGCCAGAGCGCTGGACCTTGCAGGATCCTGCAGTGTCAGGGTGGCATTGATGCGGGTTGGCGTGCTGGGCCTTGCAGGATCCTGCAGAGCCAGGGCTGCACTGACCCGCGGTGGCGTGCTGCAGGATCTTGCTGGATCTTGCAAAGCCCGACTGGCCTGGGTTTGTCGGAAGCTGGGCGAGGGCTGGCAAATCCGTGCTTGCAAAAACGGTCTTCCCTGAAGAAGAAAACATATTCCTGGAATAAAATCCAGCGCGCTAAATCATGAACGGGCTGCTTCCCGGAAGAAAGCAACTATTTCCGGGAGCTCCGTTTTAGCAGCCACGGGTTTGCCAGCCTTCGCCTGGCTTCTAAGTTTGGTTTGACCGGGGCAGTAGATCCCCGACAGAGATGAGGGCCCGCGCGCAGATCGACCCCGAGTTTTTCCCGGGCCTGCGCGCGAAGCCGTGGTGGGACACCGCGGACTGCGGCGCGTGGATCGACAGGGCGCGCCCGCGGGGCCAGGAAGGGGGGCGGCCCGGGCTGTGTCCGGAGGCAGGGAGCTCGCCTGCGCTCTTGATCGGTACGGTCGAATTTCAGCCACGCGCAGAGGGGGGTAGGGGGATGGGGGAATTCTTCTTAGAAGCGCCCTTGCTTCTCAGAAACCGCGGGCCTTGTCTATAGATGCAGGGCTGGCGTCGTCTACCCCCTCCCCCTACCCCCTAATGCTGTCCCCCAGCTCAGTGCCCCGAAAACGTAATCACATACATTTTTGGGGAGGGGGAGTTCTCGGCGTCCAGGGGGCCGCCAGCGGAATCGGGGGCTCTGGAAAGACGGCCCAGGATGAGGTGCTCCGTTCCCAGGGAGGGCGCCATGGGGGCCGGCGGCCTGAGAAGACCGAGTCGTTGGAGGCTCGGGTCTGCGTCATCCTCCCCCCCTGGTCCCCCTCCTGGTCCATTTGTCCTCCTCCTCCTCCTCCTCCTCCTCTTTCTCCTCCGCCTCCTCCTCCTCCTCTTTCTCCTCGGCCTCCTCGTGCTCCTCCTCCTCCTTCTCCTCCTCCTCCCCCTCCTCCTCTTCGTGTGCAGACATGATGCAATACTTTGCGCAGGGGGCCAAATGGGTTAGAGATGTTGTCAAGATGAAGGCCCATTTGGATCCATATGTAGAAGGCTTAGATTTCTCTGAGCGGTGGCGTCGACTGGGTAGCTCGGCAGCCGACGCTGCCGCTCGGGGTGGAGCCGCAATGCACTCCTCCTAGTCGGAGAAGGAAGAAGCGGAGCTCCAGCGAAGAATCAGAGTAGCTAAAGCTTGTTTGTAATCTTGCATCCTCGCTTCTCCCACTTTGGCCGAAGCTCGACCTGTCAGAGGTCGAACTTGTCCGTCCCCCTCGTGCTGAGTCTGGTCCGTCGGTCCCGTCTCTTCCCCCCAGGCCATGAGTGGCCGAGATTGCGAGGACTTCTCTTGTGTTCGAATTTTAACAGAGTGAAGCGAGGAGTGACGGAGCCTGCGTCTGGTGCGCGTGCGGAGGTGCACGGCCTTTCGGCTTCCGCCCTCGGAGCTCTGAGCCACAGTTGACCTCACCTGAATGCAGTGGCAGTGCGTTGCTCACAGCATGTCCTCATCCTCCCCCTCCTCATCTTCTCTTGAGGTGTCGCGAGTTCGTATCCTCGTTGGTTCCTGATTCGCCTGCTCCATCGGGATCCCCCGCCTGGCTGTTGGCAGCTTCGCCTCCTGGCAACGACTCTGGAGACGAGCTGGCCGCGGCACCCGCTCGAGGGGCTCCGAGCCCCGTCGTGTCGCTGGGGCCCACGGGCTAGGCTACGAAGTCCTCGAACAATCTGGGCATATTCTTCGGTGACCCCGTGGCAGTCTGCTCCGAGCTTGGCCAGCCTGTCAGCTTCGCTGTTGGCCCTCTGTTCCCAAACAGTACTCCTGCCACTGGCGACATCGGCCTCGGTGGCGTGCCGAAGGGTCTTGAAGCACTCGACATCGCCGAGAGCAAAGGAGCTCCACACGGGGCCCCAGAGGTGCCCCCTCGGAGAAGCCAGGCCCCCTCGCCATGGAGTCAAGCGTGCTCGGATGAGGAATAGCAGGGGAGGAACAGAGCGGTGGAGGGAGGCACTGTGGCCGCCGGCGTGCATCCCGCTCGGCAAATCATTTGAAACCAACGGTTTGGCCGCTTGCTCCTGTCGGCGCCAACAGTTGCGCTGGCGACTTAATTTCTTAGTTGGGCCCGCCCTTTCAAATCCGATTGTGTACTGAGTACTTGGGGCGAATGGGAACATGCGATTTAACGAAAAGGAGGACCAGGAGGAACGAGGAGGAGGTACGAGCGCAGGAGGAACGAGGAAGAGGAGGAGGAGGAGAAAGAGGAGGAGAAGGAGGAGAATCAGGGGAGTACTACATACGTCGTGCGTCGACAGGAGTTGGATGATGATGACTATGGAGATGATGATGATGATGATGATGATGATGATGATGATGATGATGATGATGATGATGATGATGATGATGATGATGATGATATTGATGCTGATGATGCTGCTGCTGATGATGATAATGCTGATGATTCTGATGATGCTGATGATGCTGTGCGGATGGTGGTGATGCTGCCGATTATGATGGTGATGATGATTGCGATGATGATGATGCTGATGATGATGATGGTGATGATGATTGCGATGATGATGATGATCATGATGATGATGATGATGATGATGATGATGATGATGATGATGATTATGATGATGATGATTATGATGATGATGATGGTGATGAGGATGATGACGATTATGGTGATGGTGGTGGTGGCAGTGATGGTAAGTGATACTGATGATGGGGAGGATCATGTGGAGGGTGAGTTGGACGGGGGATGAAGATGATGCTGATGATGATGATGAAGATGAGGATGCTGATGCTGTTGGTGGTGTTGATGCTGATGATGCTGATGATGATGAGGATGTTGATGTTGATGATGCCGCTGCTGCTGCTGCTGATGATGATGATGATGATGATGATGCTGATGATGATGATGATGATGATGATGATGATGAGGTGGATGATTCTGTTGATGATGATGCTGATGATGATGATGCTGATGATGAGGATGAGGTTGAGGATTATGCTGCTCCTGACGCTCGTGCTGCTGCTGCTGGTGATGATGATGCTGCCGCTGCTGCTGCTGTGCTGATGATGTTGATGCTGGTCGGTGATGATGACGATGATGATGATGCTGATTCTGATGTTGATGCTGATGGTAACAATCATGATGATACTGATTATGCTGATGATGCTGCTGCTGCTGATGATGATGATGATGACGCTGACGCTGACGCTGACGCTGACGCTGACGATGCTAATGATGCTGATGATGATGCCTCTGATGCTGATGATGATGGTGATGAAGATGACGATGACGATGGTGCTGCAGATGATGTTGATGACGATGATGACGATGACGATGACGATGCCGATGATGATAACGACGACGATGCTGATGAGGAGGATGAGGAGGATTGTGACGAGGATGCTGCATCTGCGTATGATGATGCTGATGGTGGTGACGATGCTGATGACGATGATGATGATGCTGATGACGATGCTGATGATGGTCATGAGGATGACGATGTTGATGATGATGTTGATGACGATGCTGATGATGCTGATGATGTCGATGACGATGACGATGATGCTTATGACGATGACGATGGCGATGCTGATGACGTTGATGATGATGCGGAAGATGACACTGGTGACGATGATGACGATGACGAAGATGATTTCGATGATGATACTGATGCTGCTGATGATTATGCCGATGATGATGGTGATGCTGCAGCTGCTTATGATGATGCTGATGCTGATGATGATGATGACAATGCTGCTGATGATGACGATGATGATGACGATGTTGATGAGGATGATGATGACTATGATGATGATGGCGATGATGATGATGATGATGATGATGATGATGATGATGAGTATGATGATGATGATACGGATGATGCTGCTGATGATAATGCTGATGAGGATGCTGCTGATGATGATGTTGTTGTTGTTGATGTTGATAATTCTGCTGATGATGATTCCGACAATTATTAAAATGGTGATGCTGATGGTGATGAGGCTGATGATGATAATGCTGATGCTGATGCTGCTGATGATGTTGCTGATGATGCTGATGATAATGTTGCTGCTGCTGATGATGATGGTGGTGTTGATGATGATGACGATGCTAATGATGATAATGATGCTGTTGCCTATTCTACTAGTCTTTTATGATGATGCTGATGATGGTGATGATGCTGATCATGATGATGCTGATGATGATGATGCAGATGACGATGATGATGATGATGATGATGATGATGATGATGATGATTGTGGCAGTAGTGATGATGCCG